ATATGGCAAGCTGCAGAGTCATCGTCGGTAGTAATTATCTCTGTCCCCTCCACGCCGCACAGGACAGAATGACACAGTGACTCACAAGAACAAAAAGCCGTGTCTCTGCGGGTGAATCAGGCAGTGCCACCCACCTTGCGTGGCTCTGTCTGCTTGCTAGGAGCTCCTAGCTTCCCTCCACACACGCTGCCTGCCCCTGCCCTCTGCGGTGGGCAAGGTTCACCATCCTGAGCCCTCCTTAGCTAGCTTTAGTTTCTTTCAAACCTCTGGAGAAACAAGAAGTCGAGTTGGTATGTAAATCCTCTGGTTGGCAGTGGATCGAATCGTGTCTCCCACAACCCCAACTCACAGGCTCAACTCACCGCTTCCAGGACCTGCAAATCCGACCTTATTGTGAGATATGACCTTTAAGAGGTCATCAGATTCAGAGGTTATTTGAGCAGCTTCTAATCCAGTAAGACCACTGTCCTTACAAGAGCCTCAGGACACCCAGAAGGTGCCCATACCGGGACAAGGGAGAAGATGGTCATCCTCAAAACAAGGAGAGGCCTCAGGAGAAGCCAGCCCTGCAGTGCCTTGCCTTGGATTTCCAGCCACCAGAGCCAGGAGAGAATCAACTTTTATCATCTCTTTAAGACACCCTGGCCAGGTCACCTGATTGCAAAAGTTCCAGAAAACAGGACTGTATGCCTTTGTGCTAGCTGTGTGGTTGGAAAGCCCATAGGTCCAGGAGCCCACAGGCCAGCTCGCTTTTACACACCTTACTATGAGATGTGAACGTTTCAGTTCAGTGAAATGCCATTGACAGGTATATACAGGAACAAGTTGTGATGAGCTTTACCTGCATGTACATGTGTGAGTGTGTGCATGCACATGTGTGCATGTGCCCGCAGATACCACCCTATGGACCAGGAGCCCTAAAGTGGATCTCAGTGCTGCACAATCTCCTTGAACCAAGCTGAACCACAGCTCTTTATTCTGTCACTTAGACAAGTGTATGTGTGTGTGTGTGAGGGGTCTCCAACAGTCCAGACCCTAGTCCTGTCAGGCAAGCATGATGCTGACATGATCCCATGTGTCACTTGCAATTTTGAGTTTATACACTAAGATGTGGGGATGGTTTTGCTCTGTGGCTTTGTGAATTGCTGAGGCTGGGTTGTGCATTTCTTCTCTCTCTTCTCTCCTCTCTCTCTCTCTCTCTCTCTTTCTCTCTCTCCCTCCCTCTCTCTACCAGTGCTCTAGCACTTGAGCCACAGCTCCACTTTGTGTGTCTTCTTCATGGATTTCATGGATGTGATCCCACACAGATCACACTGAATGCACCACCGGCTGGAAGCAGCAAGGGGCTCAGGTGGCCGAGGTGAGGCTCTACCTCTGGGGAGGCTCTGCCTCCACTGATAGTCTTTCCTCAGGATGATACAGTTTACAGAGCCGTGCACTCAGGGGCTATGAGGAGAATGTGAGTGCCTTTGGACTCAACGTGACGTCACTGAGCAGTGGGCTTTCCTAATCTGAACAATGACCTTGGGGAGACAAGACCCCGGCGCTCATACCCTGTCTTCTCAGCTGGCCCCCAGCTCTGCACAAGCAAACGAGAAACATTAGCTGCTGTTGCTCTACTACTGCTATGATCAGCATCATGGCTATGCCAAGTGGTCTGATTAGTTCTGAGAGGACAGAGGAGTGACGACTTGTCACTCAGCCGCCATCTGTTTCCTGCCGCTGGCAATGTCTAATTAATTAAAGAGGGGGACACTCACGAGGTGTGCAGGTGTGAACTCTGAGTTGGAGATAATCCAGTGGATGTGTTTGTGCCCTCCGGTCCACGCAGCTGCAGGAGCGCGGCTCCCGGCTTGGCCTGTATCCACACCTGGAGAAGCAGGGGACCCAGGCAGCCGTCCACCACACGCCTCCCACCCCAGTGCCACTTCGTCTAGGCCTACAGAGTCCATCCTCTGTAATCGTGGAGAATGCAGTTCTGGTGGATGATGTATACTGTGCAAGTGCTGTGTTCGCTTTACAGTTTCTGTTGGCTTTCAGGCAAATCTCACAGGCTTTGAACATCAAACAGGCCATAGGAGCCAAGATGGTGTTCTTAGGGCTCACTACACACACAATGACCAAAGAATATCCTTCAAACATTTTTACCAGTTCATTTTAAAGGTCCAGGAAGCTCTCATCCAACTGAAGAGAGTTGAAAGGGTTCTTACAATACTTAGTCAAGTGAGGGTTTACTCTCCCACAAACAGGTAAGAGACGTGTGCCAGTTCCTACACAGAATATACCACATAAGAAAATGAGATGTCCACTTCATTTGCTATGCCTTACAACCTGCAAGCGATTTTGGCAGCATGCTGCGGGTATTTATTTAGTCTAATAAAAGCCTCACAAAATGACTAAGGTTTTTCACATGGGTGATAAACCTGAACTTTTGATTTTGTACACAAAACTGTGAAGCAGATTTACTTTTTAACACTATTACAGCAGCAAATGCTTAAAACTATTTTGCGGATTTGCTAAAGATATAGAAACAGTATTTAAAAAAAGAAACACTATTTCTCATTTCAGAAAGTAAAGCTGAGCAGTCCTCCCATAACCGAAAGTCAAAGGAGCCTTTCCTATCTTTGCAATGTAAGAAAAGAAAGCACAAAGAGGAAATCTCAACAGAGGAACATAACTGCAACGTAACAATTCTTTTATAAAAAAGTAATTATTGCTTTGGTGGCAGTCCCGGCACTCTCTGAATACCTAATCAGGTATTCTGATTGCTTTCCCAAAGCACATTACCTTTAACTATGGAAGTAATTTGGTAACTACCATGTATGCAGTGAACAACCTGCAAAGAGAGAATTTGCAAAAGGACACAAAGGCACACTAATGCTCAGGTTACCACAGTCCTGCTCCTCGCAGAGCCCTAAAACATTAATGACTACTCATTTCTTCAAGTCTTTCCCTGCATATTGAATATTTCATGTGTACTGTTCGTTACTCTCTTCCGGAGAACTGTGTGTTGAAACCAGCATGGAAAAACGCAAAGCAACTGAACTGGTGTCTCCAACACTGCTAAGTTTTTAACCAGCTTTCCAGATGTTTAATAGATAATTTAACACAATATGCTAAGCAGAAGAAACTGAGTGCAACTAAGATTTTTATCAAAATAATAAGTAAAAGTGGTGATAATTACATGCTCAGACTAGCATGCGGACGGAATGCATGACTTTTGATTTCATTACAAAGAAAGAGAATACATATACCTTTCTGTTTGAATAGAAGTATTTAGGTACCAGTGCAGATGTCCTTATTCATGACATTAACGAAAAAAATGGGGGAAAATCAATTCGCTACATTGCTCTTCTAAAAACAACTTTCTCACCCTTCATTTAAAATCACTTCTAGTAGGAAGGCTGCAGGCTGAGATCTCTCCCAAGTCTCAACTGTTGTCTTTCTGTAAGAATTTGTCCCCAAAGTCATCCTTGCTATGAAGAAGATCAGCCTAAGTTCTGATTAGCAATGATCTTACAAAGAATAACCGCATTTCTGTGGAATACACTTCCACATCATTGATATAAATCCTGCTTCAAAATATTCCGCTTCCCTCACCCTGGCTTGTGTTCCGTCGCATGAACCTTGAACCCAATGCCATATTTCTGCAGCTCTTAAATCCATCCCACGAAGAGACATGGACTGTGAACCCTGGAGAAGCTGGCCAGCCAGGGTGGCTGGCTCAGGGATCCAGTGACCTTCTCTGCTGGAGATAGGATTCTATTTGTTTGGAACCCCAGGGGTTCCACCTCTAGTGAAATTGGCAGAACAAACTTCATTAGATTAGTGTGAAGCATCCTGCAGGGAGGGAACTGAGCCAGGCAACAGCAGAGCTGATGCTTCTCCTCCAGCAGCTGTGAAAGACCACAGGGAAGGTCACCCGGGGTCTTCTAAAGAAAACGGGGGTTCTCCATACATCTACCATGACCATACAGACACAGAACTTTATCAAGTGTTCAGTATTAGTGTGGGAGAAGGTCACTGTACAGCTGGAGCACGTTCAAAAGCATACATACAATAAAACCGCCAGGCTGGTGGACAGCCAGCAGAACCCCCTCTCAGACAGCTCATTCATCCCGCCCCAGGGTTTCTTCACCATAAAGCTGCCCCCGCCCCCCCAGCCATGGGTGAGACTCAGGTGATCTTATTTCCTTTCTGTTTTTGGTCCGGATTGTTGGCCTGATCAATCTCCCCCATCACAGCGGCAGCATAAAAGAAAACAAAACAAAACACCAAGTCTGAAAGACCCTGCCATCTATCCTGATCTATCCTGGAAGGGGGTGGGCGTCAGGCCTGGTGGCCCTGCCCTGTCACTTACAGGAGGGGTCAACCCGGAGATATTTGGAAAGCACACGTCTCACTTCACGGGAGTCCCCGCCTGTCCGGGGACGGGGACCCCGGGCCAGGCTGGCCTCGGTGGAACCCCTGCACAGAAGCCCCCTGAGAGGCCTGGGGAGGAAACCTGTGAGTTGGAGGGTCCGCTGAGGGGACCCCCTCGATCCTGAGCTGGGAGAAAAGTTCACACCTTCCTAGCACTCGTAGGGACAGGAGATGCGCAGGCACACCACCGTGGGGGAGGGCAGGAAAGGAGAGGAGAGTGGAGAAGGGGAAAGGGAGGGGGCAGGGGCAGGGAAGCAAGGTGGGAAGGACGTGGAGGCAGGCGAGAGAGGGGAGGCGCTAGTGGAAGAGATGCTGTGTGGGCAGCGGAGGCAGAGATGGGCAGGCTGGGGAGCCCGGGCCGGGAGGGAGGCGGAGAAAGGAACGGGGGTTCGTGAGGGGAAGGGTCTCTTTGGAGATGTGTTCAAATGGGGCCAGCGCGGCGGGGAGCTGCGTGGCCCAGGCCCTTCACGTTGGGGTGCTGCGGATCGGCTGGCGGGTCACCCGGCACCCAGGCCCCATCCGCGCGCCCCGACCCCCGCGCCCCAGCCCGCGCCCCAGCCCGCGGGCGCGCGCCTTACCTGGCCCTTGACCAAGCTGGCGGCGAACTGGCGCATGACGGCCTCCACGGTGTAGGCGCTGGACCAGCCGCGCGGCGTGAGCAGCTCCATGCAGATGGCGCCGCCGTCCAGCACGTAGCCGTTCTCCAGGCGCGGGCTGAGCACCCGCATGAAGGGCGGCGAGAAGGGGAAGTTGTCGGGGAAGGTGAGGTTGAGCAGGATGAACTCGGTGTTGGTCTCCTTCATGTCCTGCCACAGCACCGAGTCCTTGTCCACCTGGTGCAGCTTCACGTTCCAGTCGAAGAGGCTCTCGTCCACCAGCTCCACCGAGATGAAGCGGTCGCTCAGGCGCGCGATGTCCTGCAGCTCCTTCATGAGCCGCCGGCTGCGCACCTGCGTGCAGTGCTGCTGGCGGGCCGCGGGCACCGGGCAGCCGCCCGCCGCCGCCGCTGCCGCCGCCGCCGCCGCGGGCCCCGGCCCCGCCCTGGCGCCCGCCGCCCGCTCCCGGGGGCCCCCGGCGCCCGCCGCGCCCGCCGCGCCCGCCGCCCCCGCGGCCGGAGGCGCAGCCTTGTCGCGCGGGGCCGGCTCCGCCGCGCGCCGGCCCTTGCCGGGCCCCGGGCTGGCGTCGCCCGCGCCCCCGGGCTGCGGCGGCGCTTGCTTGTGGCCGCTCTTGGCGCCGCCTTTGCCGCGCAGCGACGCGCTCTGCTGGCCGCCGCCGCCGCCGCGGTGGTGCTTGGGGTCGCCGGTGTCCCGGTGCAGGCGGATGAGCCCGATCTTGCGGAGCAGCGTGGCCATCTTAGGCGGGGCGCGGGCGCGGCGCCCCGGGACCCCGCGGGCTGGGGCGCGGGGAGGCGACGGGCGGCCTCTCAGCGGGGCGCGGCGGCCGTGGCGCAGGGCGGCGGGCGGACCCGGCGCTCTCCGCCCGTTGTCACGGGACGGGCCCCGCTCCGGCTCCCGCTCCGGCGGCGGCTCCGGGCGCCCGCGGGGGGGACGCGTGGCCGAGAAGCGGCGCGGCCGACCGTCCTCCGGCCGGTCCCTGCGTGCGTCCGTCCGTCCGTCCGCGGTCCTTTGTGCGCGTCCCAGAGTCGCGCCGGGGCGCGCGGAGCTTCCCTTCCCGCAGCGCCCCGGGGGCGGCGAGGCGGCGGCGGGCTCGCGCCGTGCGCAACCGCCGGGCCGTGCCGCGCTGGCGGCTACCGCGGGGCCCGGGCCGGTGCCGCTCGCGTCGCCGCCGCTGCGGCTGCTGACATCGCAGAGGCGGCTGCTCAGTCTGAGCCGAGCGAGCGCGGCGGGCGCGGAGGGGGCGGCACTGCCGGCGGGGGGGGGGGGGGAGCGCGGGGCGGAGCTGCGGGCTCGCGGGAGCCGGGCCACCCCCGCCGCCCGGCTCCGGCGGCGACGCGCGCGCGGCCGCTGGGGGGAGACCGCGGAACGCGCCGGCGGGCGCAGGGTGCGGGGCGCGGGGCGCGGGGCTGCTCGCCCCTTCCCCCGTGCTTCCGGGGACCCGGGCTGCGGAGGGACGGCCGGACGCCCTCACCCCGGATCGCAGGGGCCCTCGCGAACCTCGACCCCACTTCTCGTCCTCAGAGCGGCTTGAGGGGCAGCACAGGACGCACCCAGATGATTGATTCCTTCCGATCGGATGGACGTGACCCTGATGGATGATTGGTTCCTTCGAATCCGATGGACGTGACCCTGATTGATGCCTTCGAATCAAATGGATGTGACCCTGATGATTGGTTCCTTCGAATCAGATAGACAAGACCCCGAAGGGAGATTGATTCCTTAGAATCGGATGAACGTGACCCTGATTGATGATTGGCTCCTTGGGGTCAGATGTTAGTGTCCACTAGTCCGCCCACAGGTTCTGTGTGGGGGGACAAGGGCGAGCTCAGGACACGTTCCTGAGGACGGGTCGTGGGGGGAGCCAGGGGAGGGGTGGTGGGCACAGGGGAGGTGGGCGCAAGCTGGCGGCAGATCTCTTAGAGAACGGCCGCCCCCTCCTGCAGGACTTCCCGGACGGTGACAGGGGCTCAAGTCCGCCCCCTCCATCGGCCCCACTCCAGGCCCTGCCATGCGTGGAGGCTGCGCTGGACCGCAGGGGACCCCAGGAACGGAAGGCAGGCAGAGCTCAGTGCCCTGTCCAACAATGCCAGGGAAAAGCTAAAGCTGCGTGGAGGCGAACCTGCCACCTCCCGAGGTCAAGGGGGACTGCAGGCCCACCCTTCCCTTTACCTGTCCACGCTTATTATTATTATTATTATTATTTCAGTCTGGTGGCATTTCCAGTAAAAGGCTAATTCAGAGCCGATCGGAAGCCGGGAGGGCCTGACCATTTGCATGTGTCCGGACATTGCACACAGATAACCCCGCTGTGGTTGGTGGCTGGCTGCAGACTCGACTGGTTATGAACCCCACACGTTGTCTTTTTGTTCTTAACATCTTACATTTCCCACTGTGTTCTGAATCATTAGGATGTGTTTACCGTGAAACGACACGTCAGCCTCCTGTGACAGGAGGCCTCTCCTGACTGCCTGGGTTGAGATTAGGACACGTCTAGGAAGACAGCTCACATTGCTTGCGGCAGATGGACAGGAGGCGGCTGCCTTGCCGGGTCTTCAGGAAGGACTAAGAGACAAAGGCCAGGGGACCAAGGCCGGTGGTGCAGTGTCACCTAGGCCTCCCGTGGCGTGGCTGTGCTACTTTATCCAACCCTCTCTTGTTTGATGACAGGGCAAACAAGAATTGTCTACTTGTAAAATCTTATGCATTTATATCTATTTTTGTGCCAGTCTTGAGGCTTGAACTCAGGGCCTGTGCGCTTCTCCCTGAGTTTGCTGTTTTTTCCACAAAGCTAGTATTTTACCACTTGAGCCACAGCTCCACTTCTAGGGTTGTTGTTTGTTTGTTTGTTTTGTTGATTATTTTTGTTAATTAGAGATGAGAGTCTTACCTACTTTCCTGCTAGGGCTGGCTTCAAAGGGTGAGCCTCAGATCTCAACCTCTGGAGTAGCTAGGATTACAGACATGAGCCAGCAGCACCCGGTTCTTATGAGTTTATTTAACATAAGGATGGTTAACATTAAAAAAAAAAGTGTCCCGGTGCTGGTGGCTCACACCTGTAATCCTAGCTATTCAGGAGGCTGAGATCTGAGGATGGAGGTTCAAAGCCAGCCTGGGTACAAAAGTCGGTGAGACTTTCATCTCCAATAAACCACTCAGAAAACCAGAAGTGGCGCTGTGGCTTAAGGTAGGGCACTCACCTTGAGCTGAAGGACAGTGCCCAGGCCAAGAGTTCAAGCCTCACAACCACCACCACCACCAACAACAACAAAAAGTGAAAAGCTGATACTGCAGAGGGAGAGGCCATCGGATCTGTGTGCTCTTATTTGACTTCCACAAAGTCTTCTCCCACCCATTTATTAGTGAAGAAGCAGTTTCAAAGCGCAGCAGCTGGGCCTGCTCAACCATACGCAAGCAGGGTGGCCTCTGTCTGCACCCACACCCCATGGGCACAGCTGCCCAAATGCTGCCTGGGCCCAGAGGAAGCCCTCGGCAGCAGCATCACCATAACTCACAGCTGGCTCAGACACATTTTATGCCACCCCAGGAAACAGTGCCCCCGGATGCGTTTGGGGAGCAGTTTACCCCAAGTCCCGGGCTGCTGTCTGCTGGCCTGTGTGTGTAGATGGAGCCCTTGCTAGGGCCATGGCAATGCTTTGAATGCCCTTGCAACCCCAGAGGTTCGCGTGTTGGTGCATTGGAAGTGTAGTCCCGAGTGGTGCGTGGGTTGTGATGGTTAAGAACTGTTCACACCAGTAGCCCATCTGCCTTCAGGTGGAATAGTCAAAGGGTCCTCAAAAGAGCCTTTCGACTCCCAGTCTGCGAGCCCCTGCAAGCTCTTCAGCGAAGGAAGCTCAGTGTCATAGCAGATAACAGACTAGTGAGTGACTGAATGACTTGTGTGTGTGGTAGATACTGACTGTGAACGGAAGGCTCATAGTGCACACCCATGTGAGCTGGGAGGCCCGTCAGGACTGGCTGACCCACAGAGCCGTCCCTCGTACCCACAGAATTCAAAGCTGACCCTTGGAAAACATCAGTTACAAAATGGAAACGGGCTGGGAAGGTGGCTCAGTGGTAGAGCGCTTGCCTTGCATGCATGAGGCCCCGGGTTCGATTCCTCAGCACCACATAAGCAAAAAGAAAAAAGCCGGAAGTGGCACTGTGGCTCAAGTGGTAAGCGCTAGCCTTGAGCTGAAGAGCTGAGGGACAACGCCCAGGCCCAGAGTTCAGGCCCCACAACCAACAAAAACGAAAAAGAAAAAAGAAAAAAAAAAAGAAACTATCTAAAGTGACAAGCAGGGAAGTGTTAGGAAGCTCTACCTACTCCACTTACGGCCGCATTATGCAACACTGAAATTATAGTCGTGAAGAGCATGAGGCAGACGCGAAATGTTTGTGATTGACAAAATCACTTTAAGTGAGAAGCAGAGTGCAAGATTGTATCTTATACTGTAGCTGTAATTACATGCAAATATGGAATCCATGGAAAGGACTAGAAGGACAGTCTGAATGGCAGCAAGTATTGTCGTAGAACAAGTAGGTCTTAATTCTCTCCCTTCTCAGTCCTTCCAGACTTCTCAGTGCCCCCATCAGAAGTTCACTGTAGTGGTAGGACGGGTGGTCAGGGTAGAAGGGCCTATGTGGTTCATCAACTGTCCTCCTCCTACACTAGAAGATTCCAGAATGTTCTACGTCCCAAGAGGGCTGAAAATATATGTCCCAAACCTAACAGTCGGACACATTACATTTGGTTGTCACCATTATTGCCTTTTACTTCATTTTGGAACATTTGGAAAAGGAATAAGGATCAGATTCTAAAAAGTCATTACATGAATCATAAAGTGTACAGTTTTGGAATGGCCGAGCTGAGTGCATTTAGGTAAGTGAGAAAAAAACTCTAAGGAGAAATCTTTTGGTCTCAACTAGTGATGGACATGGCAAAGGCTCTGCAGACAGGGCTGAAAACCAGTCCAACTTGGGAGGGAGAGAGGAAAGGTGGGAGGGGAGGAGGAAAGCGGACTGATCATCTGAGAATGGAGTCATACATGCCAGTGGCTTCCCCATCCACGTTTGATCTTGTCTGGAAGAGACAGAACTTGTTTGTTATTTACCAGAGGGCTGAGGTAAATTATCCACTTCCAGCCTTTTGCTGGTTAATTGGAGAAAATATTCAGGCTTGTCTGAACTGCGATCCTCAGAGCTCAGCCTCCCGAGTAGCCAGGATTACAGGCATGTCCCACAGCACTCAGCTTCAATTCTTTTTGTTGGTCGTGAACCCTAGTCTCACAAGATGAATATGACATTAACGGTACTACCTGTTAACAAGACACCTGTCCCAGATTTGTTAAAGTTGGCTTTCTCTTGAACTAAGGTCACTGTCAATGTTGGAAGTCATTTTCTGTGTGGCTCTGTGACATTACAAGGTCATGGGACCAATTTTGCCACTCCTCCATTATTCATCAGCAAAGCCTGAAGTTGGCTGACAGGCTTTCTTCTTTTCTCCTCCTCCTCCTCCTCCTCTTCCTCCCCTCCTCCCCTTTTCCAACCTCCCCTCCTCCCCTTTTCCCTCCTCCTGCCCCTCCTTCCCTTCTCCCTCCTCCCCCTTCTCCTCCTCTTACTCCTCCCTCACCCCTCCCCCTCTTCCCCTCCCTCCTTTTCCCCTTTCCCCCTCCTCCTCTCCCTCCTCCCCCTCCTCCTTCTTTTCCGCCTCCTCCTGGTGGCTCAGGTCCACTCTGCCTCT